TTTACGCAGTCTGTGCTTGACACCTGTTTGTAGAACGAAGGAAGAAAGTCTACACTGGGACATCTTTTTCAAAAATTTTCTGATCCTTTAAAATGGTAAAATCTTGTTTTGCATTCTCTTAGAGTTAATAAATCTGATGAATCATCATTTCACACTTCCGAATTATGACCCACAGCTCCTATTAAAATGGGAATCAAAATAACACTTCTTTTTAAAGCACGAAGCCTTAATTCAACTGTTCTAAACACAAATTTCTTTCCATATAACTGACATATTCAGCAGAGCTGACAATCCAAAATGTTTTTCGTAAGTTTCTTCAATAATCCTGCGTAGTACTTTCTAGACATGTTAAAAAGAAAGATTAAGTCTTTCAGTTAAGTGGCAAGTGTGAGGCAGCTATTCCGTGAATAGTAGAAGATAAAACAACCATTGAATGTAAAGTCTCAAATGTATTTGATTTTGTTTTCCATGGTATGGGATACTTGAGGAACCTGGCGCCCTGTGAAGCTGTGAGCCAGCCAGCTGGGGAAGGGTGTTCAGAGTGTCAGAGCTCACCATCCTGGAGACCCACGGGGCCAGATCCCTGTTCACATGTCTTCACGTGATTAAAATAATTTTACAGCAGATTCACCCGCCAAATATTTGTCACACCTACAAGAAGAGCTAAGACCAGTCATGGCAAAGAAACTACACATGGCTGGGTAGGAAAAGACATCTCCAAGGTCAAGTATGGGTGGGGGGCCTGGAGTCACATTCCTCCCCCTAAGCTCGCTTCACAACCTGCATGATCTCAGACAAAATTCCTATCCTCCCTGAGGTACCTTCCTACATCTATCTACCTCCCAGGATTGCCTGAAAGATCAACAGGACAATGGGGAGTGGGTCTTTCTGGGTACAGACAGACGCCCTTTGGGATGTAGGCAGGCACACCTCCAATCCGCCCTTCAAACAGCTTCAGAAAAGACGGCTCCTCTAATGTAGAGAAATAACAATATTTGATAGTTGCGTGGTGTCTTCTCATCTATTTACGGGCTTTTGCACAGACCGTCTTAGTGGAAGCTCACTGAACGCTGGGGCACGAGGGGGAGGGACACCAGGCGACAAAGGGACAGTTGCACGGGCATACCTGGCCCCGCTGGTTCCTCAGCTACCTCGGAGTAGGTACAGAATGAGGACCCTGATGGTCCTGGTCCTCAAGCCTTGTTCTGTCCCCGGAAATGCAACTTTCAAACGTGCTGCTCTCAATAGAAGCCTCCCTGCAGCTGTTGGCACGGAAGCCTCAGCGGACAAAGCCGGGAGACCGTGCTCCCGCCCCCGCCTCCGCGGCCCCGCCCACACCCGCACCCCCGACGCCCCGAAAACGCTTTCTCCCGCGTGTGCAGTTCCCCTCCGGCAGGTGTGGCAACCCTGCTAATAACGTGCTCCGTCACTAACTGCGAATGATGACGTGCGCTTCTCAAACA